AAAAAGAATTAACTTAAAAACTAGCATTAAGTACCAAATACCCTCCGACCTTTGAGTGTCCTTCCAAATTGATTTTAACATTTTTAAACATTCTAAACAATTATCAAACATATAAAAAATGTCACCTCCAAACCCAACGCAAAACTACCAACTCCACCTACAACTCAAGCCGCAAACATCAAAAAGAAGGTCATGGAGGTTGCTTAAATATGAACTATTGTGATGCGGCCACCACCATCTTCACCGGTCACAAAGAAGAAGTTGAAGATTTACGAGCTGAGAATCAACAAACATGAGCAGAAACAAACTCTTTGAAACTCTTTGATACCCTTCTGATGTAATTTCAATATGGGTCCATTTTCAATTCAATTCAATACTCGTTTGATCATTGGGTTTCATATTTTATAATATATGTTGAAATTTAGATTTTGGGACAACTAATATTAATGTTGACCATATTATACTCAGTTAATGGTTTCTGAATATAATATATGTTTGAAAATTCATTGGAGCTTAATGCATGTTATAAGTTCAATAAGTTGAGTATTTACTTGAAATGTTTAAAAATATTGAGATTAATTTGAAATGACACTAAAATATTAAGAGTTTTTAAGTACTTAATCGTTAAAAATAATTAAAATCTAAAAAAAAAAAAAGAGCAGATGGGCGTAGTAGTGCTCACCGATTTGTCTCCCTGTAGCAACTAACAATTTAACTAATTATCTCCTCCATTCGCAGAAAGCTTAGAAAATTGTGCCTAAGCACTGACATTTCTTTTAGGAATAAAAAACGGAGAAGGATTGTCTGCCCTCCCACTTCTGGTGCCCTCCAGTGCTTTCTTGTTTTGTGTGATCACGGTTAAACCACGTCAACATTTTATATTTTTTTTTATAGAGATAATAAGAAAAAAATGAATAGTAATATAAAATGTTAACGTAGTTTAACCGTAACCATACAAACAGAAGGACACGGGAGGACATCGAAAATGAGAGGGCAGACAATCCTTGTCCATAAAAAATAGGGAACTTTAACGAAAAGCTCCCGGTCCTGTTCACTTTAATGAAAAACCACATTTTTACACTAAAAAGTCAATCCTGGTACTATTCATTTTACCCTTTATTTTGTCATTATCATTAAAACTCAAAATTTTCAAGCCATTTTCGTTAGTTTTCCTTAATAAGGCAAGAAGGTGAGATGAAAGACAAGTTACGTTTTTTGATAAACAAAAATCATTTGAATTTTTTTTATTTGATAAAATATAATAAAAAAATAACAACGCATATCTTTTCAAGATTGAATTGCGTTTTGCAAAGTAGTTTTGTCCACAATTATTGATTAGCGCAGCAAAGAGAAACCAACAAGTTCTCGTTTCCTTGCATCAAAGAAAATAATAACATCTCTTTACTCTGCGTTATGTTTGTTGGATATTTATCAATAATCTATGATAAATTTATATATGTTAATAAATAAACAGTATATGAACAATGAACTAATGTTAAACAGAAATATTGAATATTAAGGTTTGCGTACCGCAATGTCCTTGAAACAGAAATTTCGCCCCTACTCAGTGCTTATAGTTCTCCAGAAGTATGTTTCACCAGGATTCAACGATCAAGTTAGAATTCCAACACTGGAAAACTTAACTTCTGGTGAATTTTTTTGTGGTACTCTCAGTAAGAATGATATGGATTATAGAAGAGATTTATGTTTTTTGTGTTCTAAATGTCATGCAGACGAATGTATATATAGTGGGATTATGCCTGTTTGTAATGGGTATAAGAATGGGATGTGACTGTTGGGAGACATCTCTTCAGATGAGTGTTTTCTTTCTGCGTTCTTTCACACTTCAAACTTCATCTGAAAGGATGAGTCGGTTGATAAAATAATAAAAAAATAATTAATTAATTAAATTTGAAATTTATTAAAAATAATTAATTAAATCTGAAAATAATTAATTAAAGTCGAAATTAATATATATTAATTATCAATTAATTAGCATATTCTAAAACCTAATCCCAAGGGTGAGCCTAATTTTATTCTCCAAGGTTCATCACTCCAATAACTTTCTATAAGGGACAAAACCTTATAAAGTGAGGAACCTTTTGGTAGTGAGCGGGACAATGAAATTCTACTCAAAATTTCCAACAATGTTCACTTTACAATCTAACTAGCAAGCAGCTTTAATCCAAATTCTCCTGTTTTTTTCCTCATGGAGCATCAGTGGCCTTCATTCCCAATCATGTTTGCCTTCTTGCTCTTTATAATCATGGTACTGAAAATAGGGAAGAGAGGCAACACCAACAACTACGCTTCAAATCTACCACCCGGGCCATGGAAGCTACCATTCATAGGAAACCTACACCAGCTCATCGGCTGTCTACCCCATCACGGACTACGGGACTTGGCCGAGAAATATGGACCCCTTATGCACCTGAGGCTTGGAGAAGTTTCCACCATTGTTGTTTCATCGGCAGAGTTTGCAAAAGAGGTGATGAAAACCCACGATGTTATCTTTGCATCTAGGCCACAGATCCTCGCCGCGAGGATCTTGTCTTACGGTTCTACAAACATTGCCTTTGCACCGTACGGTGATTACTGGAGACAACTACGAAAAATTTGCACACTAGAGCTTTTAAGCACAAAGCGCGTTCAATCTTACCGACCCGTTAGGGAAGAAGAGGTACTGAAGCAGATTAAATCGATCGCTTTACGATCAGGATCAGCTATCAATCTTACTCGGGAAATCTACTCATTGACGTACAGCATCACTTCACGAGCTGAGGAAGCTGGGAAAGGGTCTTCGCTCTTGCAGATCTATATCCCTCTGTTAGCTTGCTTCATTTGGTTAGTGGAATCAGGCCTAAGCTTGAGAGGCTGCATAAACAAGCCGACAGAATAATAGAAAACATCATCAACGAACATCAGAAAGATCTTGAAACTACAAAAAATGTTGAGGGCGAGAAAGTGGAAGATCTTGTACATGTTCTCCTAAAATTTCACGAACATGGCGGTGCGCTTGAATTTTCACTTACTACTAACAACATCAAAGCAGTAATCTTTGTGAGTACACTTTCTGTTCATATCAATGATATCATGCTTTAATAAGTCAAATCAGTTTTCGATTTCAGTTTTATTACCCCAGTTCTTGTTTCTGAATATACGATCTCAGAATAATATGAATTCTTGTTTCTGGTTAATTATTAGTCTTTCTGAATTCTAATTCTACATGAACCTTTTTCAGGATATTTTCTCGGCTGGGAGTGAGACATCAGCTACAACTGTAGATTGGGCAATTTCAGAAATGATGAAAAATCCAAGAGTAATGAAAAAGGCACAGCGTGAGGTGAGGGAAGTGTTTAATCGAAAAGGGAAGGCAGATGAAACAAGCATCAGAGAGATGAAGTATTTAAACGCAGTGATTAAAGAGACGCTGAGATTACACCCTTCTGTTCCCCTATTACTTCCAAGAGAATGCGGAGAGAAGTGCGAGATTGGTGGATATGATATACCTGTGAAATCCAAGGTAATCGTCAATGCGTGGGCTATCGGTAGAGATCCCAAGTACTGGACTGAGCCTGAGAGGTTTAAACCAGGGAGGTTCCATTGCAGCTCCATTGATTACAAGGGAACAAACTTCGAATACATCCCGTTTGGTGCAGGAAGGAGAATATGTCCGGGCATATTATATGGTCTGGCAAAACGTTGAGCTCCCGCTTGCATTGTTGCTATACCATTTCGATTGGAAACTTCCCGATGGAACGAAGCACGAAGACTTGGACATGACTGAGACCCTTGGCATCGCGGTCCCAAGAAAACAAGACCTGCATTTAATTCCGATTCCGTATCATCCTCCGCCTAACTGAAAAATCTCAAGTATAACAAAGTCAAATGCTTTGTATGTTTCTTGTTATTGAAATAATCGTCGTTGTTTTGTTCGTAGTATATATCCCCATTGTTACACAGCTTGTCACATTTTAAAGAGCCAAATTCATTTCAGTGGAGAAAAAACACAAACAACTAAGCTGAATAATGAGAAACGTTGGAATAATTGTTGCTACGTTCGAATCTGCCAAATGACGAGTTAGATACTAAAAACAGAGGGATATTGAAACCCATCGCAATTTAGTCAAAGTACGTGAAGGGATGATATGGTGGTGTGTGGGGGTATTTTACAAAAAATAAAGTTATTTTCTGATGAATTAATCCTAGATTGTTAATGTTACAAGCATTTGAGGAAGTGAGTGGGTTGCGTTATAAAGCTTACAAATTTCGGTGGAAATGGCACCTTAGAGGCGGTGAAGGCGTCGAGGGAAATTTGTTGGCAACACAATAAAGCGTTCCTAAGACGCGAAGTGGCAAGGCGAGGCCTCGACAAATCGCCTCAAGGCGGTGCGAGGCGTAACCTATTTGCAAGTCCGGGCAGTATGAGGCGTACGCAATTTGGTAGTGAGGGCGGTGCCAAGCGTTATACGCGATTTGCAAGTTGAGGCGGTGTGAGGCGCTACGTCATTTGCAAGTTGCGAGGCGGTGGATTAGATGGTTATCCGTGTTGTATCTAGTTTTCTTTTGAAATTTTAACGCAGCATTTTGTTACACCTTTTCTCTTTTTCCTAAATTTTTTTTTCTATCATTTTTTTTTATTTTGTCAAATTTCCCTCTTTCGGCCAAATAGGATGCTATATTAAAAAAAAAAAGTGTGAAAATCAATTTTATAGTCATTTGTCATATATTTATTAACTGTAATGTTTTATATTAAGATGGATCATCCATGTATATATAGCCCATGTCATGAGCTATATAAACTGTGTAATCCATTGGTCCTATCAACAACCTATAACTGTTAAGTGTGTACTTAGGTTCTTAGGTTTCTGCTGGTGCTATGGCTACTAAGTAGGTCTAGATTCTTTTTCCATTGCTATGGCTGCTAAGTTTTATGGCTAACATGTACCAACATGCTGGTGGATTAAGATGAACACAATGCTTGATGATATAGCGAAAGATTAAAGATAAAAGAGAGAGATTCATAGAAGAAAAACTGTGTTTGTTGTAAAATATACAAAATCGACATGCTTGATGAGTTGATATGGTAAAAAATTTCACTATCTACCATCTACCATTGTGACTGTTACTTGGTTTACAGTGCAGGATTGGTCCTGCTTGCCGGAGGATGAATCTGTTTCAACAGGATTTTTATTCCTTTCGAGGCAAAACCCAGGGTTCTTAGGCTGGGGCATTGTTGCAGTTTCACTACTCAACATCAAAACCACAGAGGCCATTGTAGGCCTATCTTCCGCACGCTCTTGGACGCACAAGAGTCCGACTTGAATGCACCTCAACACCACAGAGGGGGAGTATGAATCCCCAACTGATGGATCAATTATTTCCGACCCCTTTCCTTCTGTCCATAGCTTCCAAGCCTGCAACAATTCCAAGCCATTTCTCTGTCAGTAGTGAATCTAGTTATTTTGTGGAAATTAATTTTATGCGCCCTTTTACTTACATGTCCTAGGAGGTTGAGTTCGTTGTTCGCGTAATAAAATCCCCTGTTCTTTTTACCACTAATAATTTCCAATACCAGAACACCAAAACTAAAGACATCAGACTTGACAGAGAAGAGCCCGTCCATTGCGTACTCTGGAGACATATAGCCACTGCAGAACATCAATGAAGAGAAATTAGCATATGTGGTAAGCAGGAAAATATAGAAACTTTGTCACATATGCAGGGCATTGGTACTCACTATGTTCCCACTACTCTTCTGGTATTGGCTTCCGTCTGATCGTTACCAAATATTCTAGCCATTCCAAAGTCCGATATCTTTGGGGTCAATTCTCCATCAAGTAGAATGTTGCTTGCCTTGAGATCCCTATGGATGATCCTAAATCTTGAATCCTGGTGAAGATAAAGAAGTCCACGAGCAATCCCACAAATAATATCGAAGCGCTTTGGCCAATCCAGCATAGACCTTTTCGCATTACCTACAACGAACATCATCAACTTCATAAATAATGTCAAAAATCAAAACTGGTTATAGATTTAATTGTAGTTATTAAATGAAGATGAAGTTGATGAAGGAACTAACTGAATAGAACAGAATCCAGGCTTTTGTTTTCCATGTATTCGTAAATCAGCATTTTTTCATCCATGTCGACACAGCAACCAAGCAACCGAACAAGGTTTCGGTGCTGAAGCCTTGCGATTAACTTTACTTCGTTCTTGAATTCTTCAGTTCCTTGTCCAGAGTTCTTTGACAGCCTCTTGACAGCAACTAATTGACCTTCTACTGTACCCTGGAATCGGAATAGCCACAAATAACTAAATCTGTCTTATGTTATTTCTCAAATTACTTTAATTTATGCATGATCTAGTAACACTGATTTCTAACAAAATGTGCTTAATTACCTTGTACACGCAACCGAAACCACCTTGCCCCAGTTGATTTTCGTCTGAAAAGTTATCCGTAGCCACTGCTACTGTGTTAAAATCAAGCAATGGCAATTCTAGCTCATCATTGCTCCTTTCACCCGAGTAGTGTTCCCTTTTACTTGAGATAACTACCTCATTTAGCAGAAAATCTTGGCTTCTTTCAAAAGAACCTGTTCAGGCAGAAAACAAAAACTTTGTAACTCAATCTCTAGTTACACACTCCTTGGTTGGTTGTATGGGGAGTGAATTGCTGCCACACCGGAAACAAATCTACAATACATGGTACATTGTCGATGTTTGACAAGAATTTTGTCGACCAATTGTCAATAGGATATCGAAACGGGATTGATTAAACATTGATAATGTACTAGGTACTGAAGATTGGTATCGTCGCCAAATCGAAGTTACTTAGTACCTACCTTTTTGTTCTATCCTTCCTTTACGCGTAATACCAGATTTCCTCTTCCATACAAAACAGATAACGAGTGCTGCTAGCAGAATGCCAGTACCAACTGTAATGCCTACAATAATGAGTACTCGTTTCATCTTCCCGTTGCCATCTGCAATGAACGTACAATAGTCAGTAATGCGTTGCTGTTATAAAATACATAGCTGTTTACTTTCCTAAGCATAACATTATCTGAACCTTTACATGGAAATGTCATTCTTTCTTAATTGCCACTCGTATTTAGATTTAACTCGTAAAAACATGCGAGAAAACAATTTCTAAGCCAATATGTGTTAAATTATTATTTATAACGAGCGTTACAAGTAAGAAGCAAGCGTTTTGGCATTCTATATCGAATTGTAAGTGCATTGAGAAAATAAAAAAGGTAGTACCGCAATAATCTCTATGTTAAACAATAATCTATACTATTATTAAGAAAACCCTCATTGTCAACTTTTTTTCTCCTTTTTTCTTATTTTGCACTCATTTTTTATACACACTATTGACAAAAGAAGGGCAAAATAGTAATTTTGTACCTTTTGACAAAATGACAATCATATCCCTATTTTATTTTTTTTTATTTTTTATTTTTTGAGATAATGACAATCATATTTTTCTAATTTTACCTTCACTTTTGATACATAATATTTACATAAGGAATACAAAACAGTAATTATGTAATATTAAAAAAAATATACACTTATTAAGATAAATTATTCACGCACACTGCTCTTTGCTAGTATACAATAAAAGAAATCCTGGTAGTCTGGTAGACTGGAACCATAGATACGATATCAGCATAAACAGTTGTGATTAGAAATTTAATAAAAGTACAATTGAGGAGGGGACCAAGTAGACGCGGATGCGTACCTAACCCACCGGTAAACAGGCCCACGTATTTACTTTCTTTATTTATTTGTTGGTAATTAGCCCACATTTATTTTATTTTTTTAGGTTCTGCACTTAACTTTTCATTAGTTTTGCAGAGAACCACTCAATTATTTGCTGTGTGAACAATTAAAGGCACATGTCTATTTGCTGCTTTAGTCATAGGTGAACAGCTAAGACCTTACATGAAATGGAAAGACTGCTACACTTTTGACTTGAATTAAGGTAGTGTTATCCACACATTTATTTTTATTTTATATACTTTTTTAATTTTTTTTTTTCGAATCAAATAAATTGAAGAATCTCAATAACAAAAGATTAATATGAATATATAAAAAGTAAAAATAAGTGTAAATGGTACTTAACAATTACTTAGACATAATTTGGTCCTCTAATGGGAATATAGCACTCACAAATTTACACTTTGCATCATACATGTTAATATTTGTTACTAAGACCTTGTTTGATCTCTAATTGTAATGAATAATTAACTTTCTAAATTCAAGATATACTGAACGTTGAGGATAATGATTTTTTTTGTGCTAAGGAGATTAGGAAAATATTATACATTAAACTCCTCATTTTTAATCCTAACATTTTAGGGAGATTAGAATGAATAAGTTTTTTCATGGGTAATTAATCTCTGACCTCCAAAACACAATTTTTTTTCATTTCTTCTTTTAAAATATATTGAAAATAGTAATTTATTCGTTGCAATCCAACTATAAGGGGATGCAAAGATAACACAAGTCAGTTGAGGAATTATTTACACAAGTTATTTAAAAAATATTAAATCACTACGAGGTTAGTCCAGGATTGACTTTAAAATGTGATTTATCGTTAAAAAAAAAAGTACTGGGAGCTTTTTATTAAAATTTCCTATCAAAAAAGGGTAGTGACTTTTACACGAAAGGGATCCTCTCTGGATCCCTTTCACCAAATCCACCCAATCACCTAATCCGACTCTTGAAATTTGATCCAATAGCTAAAATTATTATAACTTTTAAATATCCCCCTGTTTGTAGCCGTTGGATCAAATTTCAAGGGTCAGAATTGATTGATTTGGTGGATTTGGTGGAAGGAATCCAGAGAGGATCCCTTCCCACTTTTACATACCTCATTTAATCTCTCACGCACATTAAAAATTTATTGAACAATTGAAAGGTTTAGAATTAAGGGTTTAAGGTTTGTGGGAGATGAAATGGAATGTACAAAACTCATGCACGCATGCACAATTAATCCTACTATTTCGTCTACAAGTTAACCTACGAAGAAGACAATACGGTCTTAATCCTATCTTGATTGACGGATCAAATATGAACATGACTAATAATGTGTTTCCTTTCTAATAATTTAAACTTATGTGCACTTTACTACTTTTAAAATATGAACAAGGTTTCCTGCCATCCACAACGACTACTAAAGGTACTTTCGAGTCCTTTTGTTTTTGGAGATATTTCCACAAGGTCCAATTTCTCTTACCAAAATCTACAGTGGTGTCTACAATATTATATTATCCCGCCTAAAATATTCGGACCGTTTGCCCTGGTATTGGAATTTTAAAGCAAATATTGAAAAGGACCGCTAATTGTAGCTCAAGAAAACCTTACCAAGTCAACAATGACGGCCACTACCCTTTCAATTTGAACAAGCTGCCGAAAGCACCCGTTTCATTAACCTTTTTCTTGTCAAGGGTGGGCTAATTCCACCAAATTAAAATGAAATATAATCCCTAGTAGAGTGTCAAATCTAAATTCTAAAAATCAAACGAGAACAAACAGTCTCTATTTAAATTATTACTTAATATTACAGTTTAATAATATTCTTAAATTGTAAGTGAGGATTTTAGAATTCGATTCTTGTGAATGACAAGTCGATATTAAATTATTATATCAAATTTATTGTGTAACTTAAACCTAATCTATTACTTTTCAGTGTAAATAGCACATTTTATTAACAAACTCATTATTTACACTAAATAAGTGAGAAAGTAGGTTAAATCTCATAATAAACTAACAATAATATTGTTCAAATTTTAACGAATAAGATCATTTTATTTAAAAAAAGAAGAAAAAAAAAACCCATCATATATAGTTGTAAATTTCGACCATCTGTCACGGGAAACATCTGGAAAAACGTTTTATGAGAAAGCATAATTTCAAAGCAAGTTCGCTTTAGATCAACGAGAGTCCAACAAAACGTGATGCACATATTCATGAATTGACATGTGGATAGACACCTCATACCATGACGCACATTTCCCTTTCATTCCCTCTTTTTTCTTTCGCATGCTATATTTGAAAAGAGGGTATGGTAGAATATAGTTTTAAGGGTGCGTTTGTTGTACCGGATTATCTTGAACTGAACTAGTTTTAGGGACTAAGCTAGATTGGCTTAAACTAGACTAAGCTAGATTAACTTAAAGAAGCGTTTGGTGCAGTGTCAGACTAAAAATTAGGATAATTAATAAACTTTAATATTATATTATTTAATCAATATCTATTAATATTTTAATATTAATATATTTATTTATTCTTTTATAATTTCTTCCTTCCTCTTAACCTCTCTTTTTCTCCGTCCATGGTTTTCCTGCCCTTTCCCATTTTTACTCTCTTTTTTCTTTGTCCACTGTCACCCTCCCCACTCTCTTTTTCGTCATTTTCACTCAAATTACTTTGCTCTATTCTTCTCTTCTTCAAAATATGAAACTCTGAATTTGTTTTGATATTTAAATTTTAGTTCTTTGAGATTACAATTTCAGTTCTTGGCGTTGGATTAAATCCAAAGCAAATCCAACTAGGTATTCTTTCTGAAAGCAAAGAGGGGAAATCTGGGTTGTGGGTTCGTTGGGTTTCATAAGAGGGAGAGAAATCAATTTGAAGCAAATAGAAGGTTGGGTTCGCGAGACGAAGGAGATCGGCAAGACGGCAAGATTTGGTGATGGGTTTGTAGGGATGATGGAGATCGACGAGACCGCAGGATTTGATGACTGGATTTGGCAACGCATGGTTGCAGATTGCAAACGATGCAGATATTAGAAAGCCGGGATTAGCAATCCCAACCTTTTCGAGGGTCCTAGCTAAGACGAGGTAGAGAAGCCTTTAGTCGGAACGTGTCCGACTTAATCCCATTAAAGACAGTCCCAGATCAAACCAAACACAGACTAATAAGTCAGTCTAGTCTAGTGAAACCTAAGGAGCTCAAACAAACACACCCTAAGATTATAACATGTTAATGGTTGAATTCCTTCTAATAATGTAATTTTTATTACGTCACACTCCATTGTCATTGTAACTAACGAATATGAAAACTCTAAATTCTAATCCTAGGCTCACTCAAATATGGTCATATCAAGCTGAAACACGTCTCCTCAATCTTAAAGACGCCAAATTTTGTGTTCTTATACAATTCAAAACCACGTTTCAATATTTCAAAACAGATTTATGGACAATAAACTATACTTTTAAAATTAGATTAATGATATTAATACTAATAATAACAATAATCAGGGTAATGTTAGGATAAGTAAATTTCGTATACTATATAACATGAAATTTAATGATTAGACTATTATTATTATTTTTAATAATAAACGATATTATCTACATCAAATGGGTGGGAGAGTGCGCTAGGCCTCATAGTGAGACATTCATAATAATATTGTTCAAATTCGACTTTGTCCAGAATCGTACCTAACACCTCTTATTTACAAGTGAAAATGAATACCATTAGACCGTAATACTAAGTGACGATTAAATTATTATTTAAATATTAATTAACGTGCTTATTTTTTATTAGTAACATATTATGTAGCTTGCAAATTTAATTTACCGAATTACTCCAAAAATGATAGTAGCATAAAAAAAAACCAAAAGAGTAATGCAAAGGAAAAGGTTACCTAGTTCAGAAGCCGCCAATCTGACATAGAGATGTTGTCCACCTTCTGCATATTGCCTAAGGTCCATGAGCTCCCCACTCCAAATCACACAACCAGTCCCTCCGTTCTCGATCCTCGCATTCCCGTAAGCCGTACAAGAACAATTTTCCGAACACTTTTTCCTACACGCCTCAAGATCAATGCCCATGTCCACAAACGCGCCGCCGCTCTCCGGCAGTTTCATGTTCCCCAAACCCAAAAACTTATCCTTCGAACACTCCAACTCCGTCCTCCTCACGCAACCATCGGACCCGTCTCTCAGATTCCACGCCTGCAAATTCTTGGGCTGAAACCCCTTCAAACACTTGCACACCGGCGAAGCGTTTGAGTCACAGACGCCGTAGGGGCCGCACTCTCTGTAACTGTCGCACTGGTCTTTCGGGGCGTACCAGAATTGGTTCCAAATCTTTCTGGATTCAATCCATGTATACCGTTGGAGATACCCATCTTGGCTCACGATCAGTCGTGAATACAACGGTTTCGAATCGTCCTTTATTGAAAAAGTGTAGTACACCTCTAGTGAATTGGAAACGAAACTGAACTGAAGACCATTTGAAACTGTCATCTCAGGCACACCGCTAAACCTCTCCCCATTCCAGGGTCCGCTGCGATACATTATGAGCTGTTTGTTTCTCAGGAAAATCTCCGGGAAACCGCGGTAATCCAGCTTGAAAGAATAGTCACCTACAGACGGGTCTTCTGTGCTTTTCCATGAAGTTATGTACCTGTCCAAATTTGAGCTCAAGTTCCATCCCAGCTTCATATCCGGCAGCAGAGTGTTTGTTGGGTAGTCAAAGCTCTGCCAAAGGAACTCGTCTTTCGGGTTGTTTCGGTTTGAATCTTCTTCTCTGAGGACTAGATTTCCCGAATCTAAAAGCTGTACAATTGGGTTCACTGCTTGAGTTTCATTGGAAGACCATGTGACGTTTCCACTTCCTTCATCAACAAGAACAAGATTTCCACGGTCGCCAAATTTGATTGTTGCTGATGACGAATTCGAAAGAGGGCTGTCTCTGTTTGCTACCCAAACAACTGTTTGAGGTTGGATATTCTTGTACCATATTCCCAAGTACCAACCGGAAGACCCCGGCTGGAACAACCCCAACTCAAATACGTTGCCGGAGGAGACGAGGGTTTGGCTGTTTCGGAGGGATTGAACTGAAGACAAGGAGTCGCTGGAGGTGGCGATTGGGAGGAAAGGGAGTAGAACGAGGCAGAGAAGGGTGGAGAAATATTGGTCGAGTTTTGTTGGAGCTCTCATTTTTTTTTCTTTTTCTATGAGGATGATTTTCTTGTTGAAAGCATATGAAGCATTGGGTTTGTAGGTGGGTGATGTTTTAGCCATTGATAGGTGAAGGAGAAATTAAAAGGCCGGTTGGCTTCTGTTGACTCTCGGTTTTATTTTACTTTTGGCAAGACTGTACAGTGCACGTTCTATTGGCTTTCTTGACTAGGGAGGCCGTCGGCGATCTTTGGATTCTTTAGTATAATTTGATTAACTTTCCCAAATTTGCATGCTTTGATTGCCTTAATCAAATCTTCCCCAATTCTACCTACGTTTAGCTTGATTATTTAACTGTAAGGGAATTTACTGTAGAGAAAATTTGATATGGGTGTTGTAGCCTATTTTATCTGACAAACGGAATAGGGCCGGTGGCAAGGGTAGAGAAATTGAGAAATATGTGTTTGTAGAATTGTAGGGGAATATGTGTGTTATCCCTACTACATTGTACCTTTATTTATAGTAGTAAAAAGAGAGAAGATATTCCTCCATCCCCACCTTTATTTATAGTAGTAAAAAGAGAGAATATATTCCTCCATCCCCCAAGTAATACAAGTTGTAATAGGAAAGGATAACTAGAATCCAATCTAATCTAGGATTTACACAATCACACTTAAACTAGGAAAGTTTACAACACTCCCCCTTGAGTGTGTAAATACTCAAGGTAGATTCAGCATCATGCAGAAGTTGAGGAATTCGACTCGTCGGCACTTGATTCTAAGGAACAACGCATATTCTCAATAAGGTAAGAACTTGCATAAGTAGTAAGTCTCACTAAAAAACCCTAAGGCTACGGCAAAAACCCGAGTAGGGACAAAATCCTTAGTCTAAGGAAAAATGCGTGAGAAATGCAAAGTTAAAAGAAACGTCTACGGGATGTCATCAGGGATATGACCAGCCCAAGGTGGGTGCCTTGTTGAAACCTAGTTAGGTAGCAAAAATCCGGTGGGAAAAAATGCTCCTAATCGTAGGGGAAAAGAGTACATTAAGATCAAACAAGTATTCTCCAGGTTACTCTCCTTGAGTTTGACACAATTCCAAAGAGAAATAGCAATGTTACAACTCAGAAAGTTTACGCATACCAATACCATGAACAAGCTTTTGAAACGTCTTCTTCGGCAGTGATTTGGTGAAGACGTCGGCCTAATTTTCTTGTGAACGGATTTGCGTGACTTCAATCTTCTAATGCTCTTGTTGTTGATGTGAAAAGAAGAACTTCAGCGCAATGTGCTTGGTGTTGCCTCCTTTGATGTAATCCTTCTTGAGTTGTTCGATGCACGTTGCGTTGTCTTCAAAAATCGTCATCGGGACATCAACGACGGGATGAAGATCGTATGAACTGCGAATATGGCCCACTACTACTCTCAACCAAAAGCATTCTCGAGTTGCTTCATGTAAGGCGAGAATTTCAGCATGGTTAGACGAAGTGGTAACTAAGGTCTATTTAGTTGATCTCCAAGAGATTGTGGTGCCTTTAATGGTAAAGACATAACCCATTTGAGAACGTGCATTGTGCGAATTAGATAAGTATCATGCGTCAGCATAACCAACAAGGTGAATCAACTCGAGAAACAAGGGGTGTGGCATCATTCAAGGATCCATAGGGATAGAACAAGCCTAAATCCGTAGTACCCTTAAGGTAACGGAAAATGTCTTTCACGCCAGTCCAGTGTCTACATGTAGGTGCATTACTGTATCTTGCCAAAAGATTAATAGCGAAGGAGATGTTGGGTCTAGTGCATTGAGCTAAGTACAATAAAACCCTTTGGTTGTGAGGATCCTCAAAACCTTTTGGTTGTTCCACATAGACTTCTTCATTAAGATACCCATTAAGGAATGCTTTAATATCCATTTGAAATAGCTTGAATTTTAAATGGCATGTAATAACACAAAGAATTCTGATAGATTCAAGATGAGCAACATGAGCGAAGGTTTCATTAAAATCAACACATTCAAGCTGAGAGTATCCTTGAGCAACACGCCTCGCCTTATTTCTAATCACATTTCCTGACTCATCAAACTTGTTTTTGTAAATCCATTTGCTGCCAATAACATTAGTATTCGAATGATGATCAACAAGGGACTAGACTTCATTCATTTCAAACTGATTTAACTCTTCCTGCATGGCTAAAATCAATTCCTTATCAATTAAGGCATCTTTAAAATTTCGATTTAGGACACATAGCACACATAATCAATTTCATCAGCAACTTGCCTTCGAGTTCTACACATTTGTGAACAAGACCCACTATTTCATCATCTGGATCAGTATTAGATTCATTCTTTGGGATCTAGGTAGATAAATGGCCACAAACTGACCACCAGCAAAAGGGTGTCAGTCAGCCTATGTGGGTTGTCTTAATTTGTTTGCCTAAACCACTGGAAGTCAGCGCGCAAAACTAACTAAACAATCAAATTAGACAGATGCAACAAATATAGACATGAAATGCACATGCATGAACAAACCTTTTGAGGTGAAAAGTGCCACATCTTGAATATTTACTCCAGCGGTAACAACCCATAATCAAAGTATAGCGTAAAACTATATTGAGCATGTGTGCGGTTCAATTAAAATATTTGACAAGGAAAGCCAAAGCTAAAAGTCTTGACTTCACAGTTCTATAGACATGTATTGGTTTAATTTAAACACGAAAGCTTCGGATTTCATGGTAAGTTTTGAATTGAAAACTTTGGGTTTCAAATGCACTAAATTCGAAACTACATATTCGATTTAGTATAAACTTGTGGTTCATAAAAGAGGTACCTACAAGAACACATAATACAGTATATAACTAACTGTAGTGAATTTGGGGTTTGCCTCAAGAACCCAAATGTGAGTTCATCAGGACTACGAAAAAGAGTTAATGGTGCAAAGAAAAAAAAATTATTGAATCGTTAATGCAAAAAGTGGACTTCAAGGCAATCATTTTAAATTTCTTTTAGATCAATGGACTGATGGTCACTTTAATTACTTCAATAGATCATAACCATTCAAGTATGATTGTGGAAGTAAAATAATGACATTCGGGTCATTTTAGTTTCGATTGGCTTCGGGCCAAGCGATTAGGATAATATAGCCTAGTTTGGGCTTAACCAAAAAGACAAACCCGAAAGTGCACATTTCTTTCCCCAAATACTAACTCACCGACAGTTTCACGTGCAAGACACGTGTGGGTTTCAAGTAATTCCGAGTAACGATTTACCACTTGTTATCCAACTTTAAACAGACGTAGTTTCTTTCTTACAAGTCTGAAATGGGTCTAGTTTGCGCTCAAGTGAAGCGGGTAAATGGTATGGTTGTTATATTTACAAATTTTATTCTATACATATTGTGAACACAGAAAATTCCTGAAATGAAAGAGACAAGAACGACGTGCACAAACAAATATTTGCGTTTGATGATTTTGGGTTACAATCTCTCTCAAATTTGATCATCTGATTCGATCTCCGTAAGGTATTGATTTGTGGATGTGTGATTGATCCAAAGGGCCGTTGGGCTTGATCTAAGGATGAACGTTCTTCAAGGGCCGTGGACTTGATCTTGAAGGTGGATTTGAGCGGATCTTTAAAGGGGCTTTTGGGCTTGATCTTTGAAGAACAGTGACGAACGGATCTCCAAGGGCTTTTGGGTTTGATCTTGAATAACAGTGATGAACGGATCTTCAAGGGCTTTTGGGCTTGATCTTGAAGAACGGTTGGATGTGTGGATTTGTCGACGTTGTGATCCAAAAGGGCCGTTGGGGCTTGATCTTGGATGAACGGATGATGAACGATGGTGCTTTCTTCAAGGGCCGTCGGGGCTTGATCTTGAATTGGTGGATGGTTGATCGAAGGGCCGTCGGGGCTTGATCTTGGAAGAACGATGAACGAAGAACGAATAACACTTTCTTCAAGGGGCCGTCGGGGCTTGATCTTGAATTGGTGGATGATTGTTGATCCAAAGGGCCGTTGGGGCTTGATCTTGGAAGAACGATGAACGAAGAACACTTTCTTCAAAGGCCGTCGGGGCTTGATCTTGGAAGAACGATGAACGAAGAACGAAGAATTGGATGCTTGATCTTCGGGAACCTGGATGCTTGAGAGCTTCGGAGTTTCAGAGCTTCAGAGCTTCAAGAATTTTGCCTAATGATTTTGGTTCCCCCCTTCAAATGAATGAATTAGCCTTCTATTTATAGAAATTTCCAAGGCCTAATTTTGAATATAATATTCCAGATGAAATAAGTCGTTTCTGCCAGGTGTTGACACGTGTCCTGTTTGATGACTTTTCCAACTTATTTCGATTTTTTGTTTAGACACACGCTACGTGTAAAATTTATGTAATACATGAGCGTTGAAACTTTGATTTATCGGTCAACATTTATTTACCGAAATTTCGATGTCTACAAATGCCCCCACTTCAAGGCGCGTCGTATACATGTGTTTGTCACGTGTAGGAGATGCGTTTTGAAGTCCCTTACTGTAGATGTCGATCCAAGGGCCATCGAGGCTTGATCTTGAATTGGGCTGAGATTTCTTCAAGGGCCGTCGAAGCTTGATCTTGAAGGTTGAAATTGGACCGCAAGGAGTTTCATGTGGTAGATGATCCTTGGCTTTGGTAGTGGATGAATCGGCACATATTTTGTTGCACTTGTTGACTTTCCACAGCTTTGATCTTGAACTGGATTGGAGGACTTTCTGGATTCCTCCAATTGTTGACTTTCCACAGCTTATTCTTGAACTGGGTTGGAGGATTTTCTGGTTTCCTCCAATTGTTGACTTTCCACAGCTTATTCTTGAACTGGATTTGATTCAAGGGTGGTAGACACTTGATCTTGAATCGGACTTGTGATTTTCTCAAGGGCCGTCGAAGCTTGATCTTGAATTGGCTGGAAGCTTCTTCAATGGCCGTTAAGGCTTGATTCTTGAAGGTTGACTCGAACACATGGCAAGCAGGCACGAGGTGAAGGTGACGACTTGTTGCTTTGTTCAATCTTTCTAATTCACACCTGAGCAGTTTGGTCAACGGTATGATCTTCAAGATTGATGGGCTCTTCTTCCAGTTGGTGACTTGATCTTTAAGGATTTGATTCAAGGGTGGTGAATCG